AAGAGTGGAGCTTATATATTACACGAGAAGTTTCAAGGCATGAAATACATTTGTATTGCTTAAAGTTTGGGTTTAAGGGACAGTAAGATAGATTCTCCTACTGCACTGGAGTTTTTCTATTTTTCTTATTAGATGTGAACCTGATCCCATAAAGGTAGTCACAAATCTCCTTTCTTCGTCATGTGAAAATAAACCTGAAAGAGCTGTTAAGAGGCTGCCCATCTGTCAAGGTGTTTTATTACCATGTAAAGACATAGTGCAGTAAGGCTATAGCTCTGTCGCTGTTAAAAAAACCATCACCACAATACATTTGAGACTAATAACGTTTTGCCCTTCCACTCAGCTCAGCAGACAAGGAAAGAAACCATGGGCACCTGTAGATCAAGTATCTAGTAATATACTAATTAAAACTAATAATTGTACTTTTGGCTGGGCTTTATGAAATTAAGTATATGCATCTATCAAATTGTATCTATTAAGGAAAAGAGCCCTTTTAAGAAGCAGATCATGCAGCTTTCCAACAGCATTCAGATCTCTCAGAAACTTTAACATGGTATTTAGTCATATACATGTGTGTCATGATAGATCCAAAGTGGCTGATAGTAATTTAAAACAAGGTTAATTTTAAAAATTATTTTACAAAAGTCTAAAAATAATCAGATAACAGTATTACAGCATGACTCCTGTACCTGCAAGGATACATTCTGAACAGATTACAAAAAGTTTCCACATAAGGATACTGACACTACTCCAACACCAAGTAATCAAGGCAGGTTTCATTGTAGCTAGATCTAGCATCTCAAAGGAACAGGTGTAGCTGATGCAGTTTTTAATTGTGCAGATGCACTCCTAGCCAAAACCTGGGCATCCAGTCTCAACTGGCCATTGATTTAGTTGGATTTGTGTGTTTCCCACCTCTGGCTTATAAGCATGTCAGTTTTGCTGTAGGTTTCTGGTCCAGCTCTCAGCACAGCAGTGAACTGAAGTGCCATGTGTCAGTTTAAGAGCCCTGCCCATTTCAAATGAGAGGATACAGGATTTTGGTCTTTGATTTATGAATCATTGAGAGGAAATTCATAATGCATCTTGAACAATTGAGAGAAGTGTACAAATACATGGTATTGCTTGGTGTAAATAGTATTACAGAAGCAAATAATACCTAGAAAAAGAACCAATGTTTCTCAAAAGGATTATCAGGATGAATATGACATTTTGTAGGCCAAAACTGCTTATAATAATGTGATGAAATTTCATAAACCTTGGTGACAGAGAAAATTCCCAGATCAAGAAGCTCATGAATTTCAAGTTTGAGCAAGCTGCATTTTAAACATACTCCAGTAATTGATTTCAGGTATCTTTGTCATTTCTTGAATAGCCAGATGAAAGTAATCACCCTATAGAGAGATCCAACTTGTCAAAAGTTTGAAGTTACAACATTGATGGCATTCTTCTAAGGCAACTCAGAGGCCAATCAAAGCAGTCCTTCCCCAAGGTTTGGAGCTCTCTTGTTTATTTTTGGTGCAAGTAGCTAGCCCAGTTTGCATATGATTTGCAAATGCTATATGCATACAAAACTGCAGCTGCTTAATAAATTGCCCTTATCCAGTGATGCTTTCCTTTTGATCTTACAAACAAACATACAAAAATAAATCAAATACAGTAACTAAAAATCAGTTTGTACATGCATTTTAAAGCAGGGTTAGAAACAAATAAGTTCACATGTTCTGATCCTCATTTCAATGATACACCCAACTTTGCATGGTATGAGCTAGAATTATGCTTGGATTATAAATCTTAAAGAATTTGCTGTCGAAGTCTTTCATGGCCGGAATTAGCATTTAATGGCCTTGTAGCTTCAAAGCCTGGGTGATAAAAAGCAACACTAAAAAACACAGGGGAATTCCAGAGAAGAATCAATCAGGGCAAGCTAATACCTCCCAAAAAAGGATCCCCAGGCAGCAATCAGTTAGACTTTGAAGCTACAAGGCCATTAAATGCTGATCAAGCTCGCCAACTACAACATTCACACTTGCCTCAAGCAGACAAAGGTTCTTTCTCCCACCCTGCACATTCCACAGATATATAAACCCCACTTGTCTAGTTTCCAACAAACCTCACAACCTCTGAGGATGTCTGCTATAGATATGGGCAAAACATCAGGAGAGAATGCTTCTGGAACATGGCCAAATTAAAGAATTTGTTGTTTAAAAAAACAGCACATGAAAGCCATAAATAAACATGCCTAGGTAACACTGTAATGAGTAGTTCACAACCCAAGAAAAGTAACACAAAATCAATAACACATTTTGGTATGATCTTGCAATAATCCAACAGAAGCCACAAAGTAATTCATTTCATTAATACCTGCCTAACATTTACAACACATTAGAAAAATAAACATCAGTCATTATTCAACTGATATTATTTTCCAGCAATGTGTAAATCAGAGGCAGGAATTCAAAACCTTTCTAAGGACTCAGATATTAACAAATATAATCAGCTACAAGTACCCTGTGAATCAAATAGTATCTCTAAAGCAAAGTGGCCCATACATGATAGTGGATATTATAAATTGACTTTCACTTACTTTTACATATACACACATTTTTATAAGTTTATTAATTTAATCTTCTGATGAATTCTTGTTTTCATCAAAATAGCTACTATATAGGTGTTGTCAAAGGCTTTCGTGGCCAGAGTCACTGAGTTGCTGTGGGTTTTCCGGGCTGTATGGCCAAGTTCAATCAATCAGGTCCAGATAACACCTCATAACAAAGGATGCCCCCAGGCTGCAACTAGCCAGCCTTTGAAGCTGCAAGGCCATTAAATGCTAATCAAGATGGCCAATTGCAACATTCACACTTGCCTCAAGCAGACAAGAGTTCCTTCTCCCACCCTGGACATTCCACAGATATATAAACCTCACTTGCCTAGTTTCCAATGGATCACAACCTCCGAGGATGCCTATCATAGATGTGGGTGAAATGTCAGGAGAAAATGCCTCTGGAACATGGCCATACAGCCTGGAAAACTGTAACCCAAAACTTTATAAGCTCTGTTTCTGTCACTTACATTAAATCTATTTCATACACTTTTCCTATTCGTTACCTAAATTATTTGCTAATTACCATTTCTTTCTGATTTTTAATTTAAAAAATGCAACTTGCCATTTTCAAAATCCATCCATTCTTACTGTGTGATGAATAAGTTTACACTGGCCAGTAGAGGGAGGAAATTCACTTTAAATAGGGACAGCAACTACTTAGAATGTGGTGGGTAGATAATAAATGAGTAAGAGGAACAGTGCTGAATTTTCGCTCTGCCCTTGTGTTTGTTGACAGATGCTTTCTTTTCTATACTGTTTTCTAAATTGTTTTTGCACTGATAATTGCCTATGTAATATAATAACTGACTGCTATGTCAGATTAAAATCAGTTTGGCCAACCATGTTACCAAAGCCACTTGAAATTTGTACATATATCTGGAAAATGTTTGCAAGTTCATTTGAATTTTCTTCTACTTGTGATTCTCAGAATGTAAGCTGGGCTTACTTCTCCAGTCCGAGGCTTTGGTGTGATGCTGAGCTCTGGGGTGATGAAAATTGGATAGTGTGCCCTTTTATTCTGGGTATGCCAAGCTTTTTTTTAACAAACCCACCTTGTGTTCAATCTGCAATGTCTTTTAAAAAATATATAACATTACACTTAAATTTATTAATTCTCGCTGGTGTTGGCACTTCTAGGACTCAAAGCCAAATAGTGTAAACCAAATGAACCAATGGAATTTACATAAATGTTAACTCATTCCAAACTTGAGTCAACCAGTGTTGTCTAGCAGTTGGATTCAGCCTCTGCACAGAACTGAGAAAAGTACAGCCCTCCAGGTTTTTTGGGGGGGGGGCAGTGGGGGGGGGCACTTCTGCCGTCATCCTAAAGCAACATAACCAGAGATGAGGAATACTTGAATTTCCAAATCAGCAAATACCTGGAAGACTGTCCTAGCTGCTCTGCTCACAGTTCTTAAATATGATTACTTGCATGCAACTTTAGCAACTAGTTTTCATGTTTAGTTTTCCATGTAAGAAAATTTAAGCATAAATATTGCAAATAACTCTGAAATAGCTGGTTGTGAAGCAGAATAGAATTGTTGGATTTCAGTTTTCAAAGGGGAAATATTTATTGTTTATCTGTTTTTGGCAATATGCCATTTTGCCAAATACTTGGGGGGATTTGCAAATTACAATGAATTTTTTAGTGGGGGAGAAAGTCATGCCAGATGGTCTCCCATAAACATGCAATATTTGTATGAAATTGCTTTGGCAAATTGCTCCAGATTTGGGACTCATACTCCTCCCACCATGGGATTTTGGAGAGTCATGTCCTCTGCACTAGATTTGAAAAAGACATTTTAGGGAGGAAATTACCTGAGTGGGAACCTCATGGCCGCATGTGCTGTTTAGATTGCACATTTGAGAAATGCTGGTGTTTCAGGCCCCTTCCACACAGCTGAATAAAATCCCACATTTTCTGCTTTGAACTGGAATATATGGCAGTGTGAACTCAGGTAATCCAGTTCAAAGCAGATATTGTGGGATTTTCTGCCTTGATATTCTGGGTTATATGGCGGTGTGGAAGGGACCGAGTCTCCACTGCCAGACATTCTGGAATAAGCAGATAATCTGAGATTGGATCTGGGATATAATATGAGGTGTGATCCATTCAGAGTAAAAACACACAGAGAAATATCTTTAGTTTCCCTGTCCTTTTAGATCTTGAGACACATTTTCCTGTTGCCAGAAGTTGTAAATGGTACATTGGACCGCCATATTAGGAACACTTAAAAGAAGAGTCGTATGATAGAGATGCCTTCTGGCTTATTGGTTCAAGTGTTCTCATTCTGTCACTTACACTTAATATAACAGAATAGTATTAGATACTAACAGCTCTGGTTGCCTGCAAAATATTTCTCATGTGCTAATATCTTGCTCTTTCTCTTTTCAGACTTTTGTTTATTAGCTCCAGGAGAGTTGGGATTAATTTAAGTCTTGGGTAGTTTTATTTATAAGTGGTCTCCACAGGGAGAAATAAGAAATCATGAGCAAAAAAGGGGATCAGATTTATTTAGAAAACAAATGTGTTCACTCTTTGGACTATTTATTGTGACCAACAAATTGTGTCCATTAGTGTTGTGACACAATACAGCTAAACCAAAGAATCCAAACTCCCGCATCTCTTCTTTCTGCTTTATGTTGTTTCCAATCCTTTGCTTTTCAAATACGTCCACGCAAATTCCTCTCTTTAGTCAGATTTAAGCTACATCAGTTTCTCTGTGACAGTTCTCCAATCCCTATGGATAATGCCAGCTGTACCGTAGTGCCAGCTGTTGTCCGCCTCATATGGAGGAGACCTGCTTGGGGAAGGCTAAGCTGAGGGTTCTCGTGACCATTTTCTCTTTCTGTCCCTTTTGGAATGTTTCCCCTCAATCGTAAGATGAAAGCAGGTGCTGTAAGTTAATTCATATACACCAGTATTATTTATTTCCCTAACATGGGTGGGACTTACTGTGGAAAAGTTTGAGAACCCCTGGTCTGCTGTGTCCCTCTGCTTGCCTGACTGCTTTGGAAGATGAATATGGTGGTGGATATTGTAAACCAGAAAATGCCGTCTGAAACAGATGTTCATGTGGCTAGGAGCTATCTTATGAAGATCTTGAGAAGTTCCATGAGGTATGCTGTTGGTTTCACAAGACAGTGTTTCCTTTGCCTTTTCCTAATGTTCGTTTTTTCCTAATAAGTGTCATGGTTTGCAGTTGTTCTGCAGCTTTGTATTTCTCTTACCATTATGTATAGTTTGTTAGGAGCCACGGTGGCGCAATGGGTTAAACCCCTGTGTACTGCTGAACTGCTGACCTGAAGGTCGGTGGTTCGAAATCATGATACGGGGTGCACTCCTGTCTATCAATTCCAGCTTCCCATGCGGAGACAGGAGAGAAGCCTCCCACAGGATGGTAAAACATCCGGGCATCCCCTGGCCAACATTCCTGCAGGCAGCCAATTCTTTCACACCAGAAGTGACTTGCAGTTTCTCAAATTGCTTCTGACACAATAAAAATTTAGTTTCCTTACGCAATGCATAGTTAATATTACAGGTAGTTGTCACACTGTACCCTAAAATATTTACAGTTCTTCTTGATCTTTATTGATTTTTTTTTATAAACAATTACATCATTCAAAAAAAAGAAAAAAAAACAAACAAAGGAAAAAAAGAACCGAGTTACACACTTACACTTGCATCCTGATACATATATACCTAAACAGCTATCTCTCCTGTGCAGTACAGCTAGATCGGGGAAAGTGGGAAAGGGAATATGGGGAGCGGGATAAGGGGGGGAGGGAGGGGAGGGCTTAACACTGGGTAAGAAGTAACAACAAACCTCACATTGGGGCCTTACACAAACTACGACTATCAACAAAACAATCAACAAAACATATTGACTTCCCAACATTCCACGGGGTCATGTAACTTGTAAGTCTATTTCATTTACTTATTTATTTTTCTGACCATCTTCCCGAACCTTAAAGCAGAACATTCTTTCTGTTTTTCAGATATTCCTTTAAGGGATGCCAGTTTATTTTCCTTTTTTTGCTGGTTTCGTACAGAATGTTTGCTAGAGTGTCCATTTCCATGTAATCCCCAATTTTTATCCACCAGGCCTCCATTGTTGGGAGTTCCTTGGATTTCCACTTACTCGCAAACACTGTTCTAGCTGCGGCTGACAAATGATATAGCAACATCTCCTTGTTTCTATCTAACTCAAAATCTATTAAATGCAGTAAATAATATTCTGCCTTGAGTTCGAATTTTACTTGCAGAATTCCCTGCACCTGTAAATGTACCTCTCTCCAGAAGCTCTTTACTTTTTTACATTGCCACCAAACATGATAATACGTGCCCACTTGTGTGCCACACTTCCAACACTCATTGCTAACTCCTTTATAGAATTTTGCCAATCTTTGAGGGGTAAGATGCCAGCGAAAAATTTTTTTTTGCCAGCTTTCTGTTATGTTCATTGATTTTGCGAACTTTATTTTTTCCCTCCAGATAATTTCCCATTCCTTTAGCAAAATAGAATGTCCCAAGTCTACAGCCCAGGAGACCATGTTTTCCTTAATGAGTTCCGTCTCTGTTTCCCACTCCAACAGTTTTTGGTATAGGGATTTTATCAGTTTTCTATCCTTCCTCAGGATTCCATCCCAGAATGACTCCTGTTGTGTAAAATCATGTTTCTTATCTTCCTTGTAGCAATCAGTAATTTGGATGTACTGGAACCAAGACAGGTTCTCATCCAGCTTCCTCAGCGCTTCCAATGATTTTAACTTCCAGTGGCTTCCCTCCTTCTCTAGTAATACCTTATACGTATGCCATCTATCCTTAGGAAACTCTCTCTTGTGGGCCGCCTCTAACGGTGAAAGCCACAATGGCGTTTTGGTATACATTCTGTCCTTATACCTGTCCCAGACCTTTAATAAAGCGGATCTGACAAAATGGTTCGAAAATTTTTTCTCAATCTTAGATTTCCCGTGCCAGAGATAGGCATGCCAGCCTCTCCTTAGGTCGTGGCCCTCCAAATTTAGCAATTTCTTTTTTTTTAGAGTAGCCCAGTCTTTCACCCAGGTCAAGGCGCAGGCATCATAATATAGCTGCAGGTCGGGTAAGCTAAGCCCCCCTCTCTCCCTCCCGTCTATCAGAATCTTATATTTGATCCTCGCTCTTTTTCCGTTCCAAATAAACTTCAAGATATCCTTTCTCCATTGGGAGAAGCAATATTTTGTTCTCAATACGGGGATCATTTGGAATAAGTAAATCATTTTAGGGAGTATATTTGACTTGACTATCGCTATTCTGCCCGCCAAACTTAAATTCCATTGTTTCCAGCTCACTAATTTCTTACCAATCGCCTTCCATACGGGTTCATAATTATTTTTTACCAACTGCGAGTTACTTGCCGTTAGATGGACTCCTAAATATTTCACTCTATTGGTGACCGAGTATTGTGAGATCTTTTGCAGTTCTTCCCTCTTGAATATGTCCATATTCTTCTTGGAACTGGACTAAGGGTGCAATCCTGCAGTTCTCATTTATCAAGGTGTTGATTCAACTTTGTGGCATTTGCTTCTACATAGATGTGTTGAGTGCTGCCATTTACATAAGTGGATCCCAAACTTTAATTCTCCGGGGGTTTCAGATTTCAGCTTCCAGAAAACTTGACCATTGGATAAAATGGCTGGAGCTTCTGGGAGTTGGAGGTTCTAAAACCCGCAGAACCAAAGTTTGTGCTCCAATGGCACTATTCAATATATCTATGTAGAAGCAAATTTTATATGATACATCTTGTATGTTAGTTGCACCATTTGTTTGTAGAAGCTGACACATTTGTTCCTGGATTTATGGAAGTAGGTTTCCATGTGCAGTTGTCAGCAGCAACTTGAGTACTGTACGACATTTGAAGGAACATTGTGTCACATGTGTTTTGGGGATGTTTTGGAGGCAGGAGTGCTCTTATAAAGGTTGAATGACTACCCAGGCAGTATAGCCTCATGCAGATTCTACTTAGTAGGGATTTACTTGTTTAAATAGTTTGTTCCTGCAGGGAACAGTGAGTAATTTAACAGTTTCTTCCTGCTGAGTGAATGTCTTTAAAAACTCTGCAGACATCTTGTAGTGGGGAGGGGGTGTCTCTTTGGAATGGGGGGAGTAGATGAAGAAGCCAATTAAGATACGCATTCACTGTCAGCTATCATAACTAGAGATGGATCGTCCATTGTCAGCTATCAGTGCTCAACTGTCCCATCCCACCTGCAGATTGGAAGGAGGGGATGAGCCTCAGAGCAGATTTTGTCCTCTTCCCCATTTCAGAGCCATGTAGTATGTATACAGGCAGAAGGGGATGAGGAGCAGGATTGGATTTTGTAACCAATGCACACAGGGCCCTTCTAGACAGGTCCTATATCCCAGGATCTGATCCCAAGTTTTCTTCTTTAAACTGGATTATATGAGTCCCCACTGTCAGATAATCGGGAATAAACAGAAAATCTGGGATCACATCCTGAGATATAGGCCCTGTCTGGAAGGGCCCATTGATGCATGCACGCTTTGGGACTTCTAGATCTCCAGCAGAATGATGCTATTGTGAGCTACACTGGCAGTGATTGCTATCTTGCCAGTGTCGTGTTGGTGAGGGCACAGGACTTGGATGTATGGAAATGTAGCCTCAGCATCTACTGGAGGTAGCTTGGGGGGGGGGGCAAGACAGTGGCTTGAGACGAATCCACCTTGTCAATGGTTCTGGACAGCTGAGAAGTCAACAATTTTCCACTACCCTTCTTGAATCTTCAAATATATATTCCATTCAGGCATGTAGCCGGGGGGTGGTCCGGAAATTCTCAGGGTGGTCCGTGAGAAGGCCTTACTGGTACATTATTTAAACTGTTATGTTTATTCATATCATGATCTGATCAACATACGCATGGGTAGACCCTCTTTCACTCAGACTCAGCCCCCCCCCCCCCCGAATCAAACTCAGCCCCTCCCAAAACAATCCTGGTTATAGGCCTGATTCCATTCTTAGCTTTTGCTACATTGTACTTGTCCATCCATATTCAAAGCTAAACTTGGAGCAGCCGGCCCATTTCAGTTTTTTAAGAGGTTGAAATTATACATGTTTTACATTGTTTTCAGTTATTTTGTTGTCTTCCCTAGGCTCTGAGAATTCATGATATACACGAATTGAGCATCCCTTGTCTAAAATTCCAAAATACTCCGAAATCCAAAATGGTTAAAATGAGTTGCTGAGGTAGTGAGTGACACCTTTGCTTTCTGATGGTTCAGTGTACAGAAACTTTGTTTCATGCACAAAATTATTCAACATAGTTATGCCATTGCGATTGCAAACATTTGTGCAATGTTTTTCAGTCTTGACTTGTGTTGCGCAGTACTGATATTTTTCATGAGGATGTGTAACCTTGGTATAGTGCATTTATGGATATTTATGCAGAGATACTCACAGGTGAGTTGGTCCCACTGGTGTACCTGCTTTAGACTTTAATTGGTTCAATAGGTAAAACACTAAGTTCCAACTGAAAGATTTCAGCTAATTGAAATGCGACCTCTATAGCTTGTATTTAGAATTGCAAATAATTGTGGAGTCAGAGACTTACTAAAGAAAAGAAGGAAAGTATCCCACCTAGCAATATTTTATTCATTATCTAATTACTTTTGCATTTAATCTAATGTGCCAAAAGCAGCAAGAACACTTGAGGGTCTCATTATCTCCTCATCCATTTGCCAGTGTATGCAAGGTTGCTCAATTATCCTGAATTATGTTACTGTTCTGGAAAAACAACCTGAAACATGGAGCTGTATTTTCTCATTTTCCCCTTCCACTGTCAACAAAGTTCGACTAAGCATTTTATAATATAGTACTTTTTAAGCACGGTCGCTCAAACTATAGCTTGAAAAAAAAATGAATTTCTATGTACACTGCACATATCTTATTTGTAGTGCAAAACAAATAAAAAGTCAATATTTATAATGAAGAGCCATTTTAACCTTCATAAACTTACCAGGATTTCAGTAGAAAGTGTGGACCTGCTTTTGTCTGATGAGATTGTCAAATTAATTAGGATTGTTGTTCGTGTGTGCCTCCAAGTCATTTCAGACTTGGGACGACCCTAAGACTCAAATTTATGGTCTGGCCTGGGTAAATGGCCTTGGAGGCCCACTTCCGACCCACAGGCCTTAGTTTGGGGACCCCTTGTCTACTAATTTTGTCAGTTCTTTGTCAAAACTAGCATTGTAGCATATCAGTAAAGTATGGAGTAAATAATAATTGCTAGTCCCATCTAGGGTACACTTATGGAATCAATAGTTAAATTGTATAATAAGGTACAAGGTAAAGGTTTCCTCTTGACATGAAGTCTAGTCGTGTCCGACTCTGCATGGGGTGGGGGTGGTTCTCATCTCCATTTCTAAGCTGAAGAGCCAGTGTTGTTTGTGCCTCCAAGGTCATCTGGCCAGCATGACTGCATGGAGCACTGTTACCTTCCTGCCGGAGCAGTATCTATTGATCTACTCACATTTGCATGTTTTCAAACTGCTAGGTTGGCAGAAGCTGGGGCTAACAGTGGGAGCTCACCCTGCTCCCCTGATTCAAACCACCAACCTTTCGGTCAGTGTGTTCAGCAGCTCAGCAGTTTAACCCGCTGTGCCACCAGGGGCTCTTAATTGTATAATAACACCTATTTAAATCTCATGTATTCAATAGATCTATTTAAATTAGAATTAGCAGGTGGATTCAGGCATAGGTTTTAGAATCTAGGAAAGCTAATGTGAGGTAGTAGTTTGAGTGTTGGGTTAGGATACTGGGAGACCAAGATCCAAATCCTTGCTCAGCCATGAAAACTTACTGGATGTCTTTGAGCAAATCACACTTTATCAGCCTTCGAGAAAGTGCTTATGATGTCTGGGTTGTAAAATGTCAAGTATCGAATACCTCAAGAAACACAACATTCCTCCTTATATTTCCGTGCATGTTTACAAAGTTAAATCATTTAAGGCACTTCAAAGATTTTCAATAAGTAGTTAAACATTTGACTTATCTGCCTTGTTTTTTAAAGCACTTCAGGCGTTCTTTGTCGTAATTGATTCACTGTCTGCATTCTGAGTGCCTTTTTTAAACAAAGCAGAACAAAGAGGCAGACACTGTTCAATACTGTCTTACCGCATTTGTTAATCAGATCTGAGGCTGGTGGGTTTTTTCTCTGTCTAGCGTGATTTAAAATATGAGTAATGAAGGCACACATTTTACCTTTCTTGTTGCAGAAAGAACGACTTAGCCTGCCGCCCTCACTCCTGGCATGCAACCAAATTCACAGAGACTCAGCCTGAGGCGGCCACGTCACGGCCTCCCGCGACCAATGTCTGTGCTTCTTGGCACTCTCGGTATCATGCAAGGTGAGTTCCTGTTAAACTTTAGCTCCAACGGTAAGAATCTAAAATGTATCTCTCACTTTGTTATTATCTTTAACCTGTTGGCAATATATGGTTTTATTTTCAAGTTGATACTTTAGTGTGAATTGATGACTTAATGACAGTTGCCAGTATATGTACTTTGTATTGTTTTCAACTATGCTGATCTAGAAATACAGCGAGGAGTAGTATCTGCAGGTAGTGTTGGCCTGATTGCTCTAGGCATTTCTTCAGGCATCAATACTAAAGAGTCTTAAGCCTGTTTTGTAATTAAGTTTACACTTGTACCAAATCCAACTCCTTTGCTAATAAGACAGAAAAACTGAATCTGCTGTTCTAAGACAGGCTGTTATCATTAACATACATTTTCTTCCTGTATACATTTGAAATAACTATTACACAATTACCTTTTCTAATTGCATCTGTTCTAATATGTAGCAATTTACAGAAATGGGTGGGGAACATTACTGCCTCTTCCAGCATTGAGCATTCCTCAGTAATTATTACTTGTTTGAAAACTTGGACGGTAAAGGAAAAGTTCCACCTTAGCTTAAGAAGCAACAGACTTTCTCTGTCACATAGACATAACATTCACAGAGTGTTTGCCTTCCTCCGAGGCTGTGAGAGTATGACTTGTCTAGTGGGTTTCCTTGGTTGAGCGGGGATTTGAACTCTGCTCTCTCAAACTCTTCATTCAGCACTCAAACCACTACATTATGCTGCCTTGGTCTCATGCATACTGTGGGCTATCGTTCTGAAACACACACACATACAGAACTAAATGACTCTTAGAGCTGTGCTACTGAATGTTTAAAATAAAGTCTTGTTGGGTTGTGAGTTTTCCGGCTGTATGGCCATGTTCCAGAAGCATTCTCTCCTGACATTTTACCTGCATCTATGGCAGGCATCCTCAGAGGTTGTGAGGTCTGTTGGAAACCAGGAAAATACGGTTTATATATCTGTGGAATGTCCAGGGTGGGAGAAAGTACTCTTGTCTGTTTGAGGTAGGTGTGAATGTTTTAATTGGCCACCTTGATTAGCATTTAATGGCCTTGCAGTTTCAAAGTCTGTCTTCTTACTGCCTGGGGGAATCCTTTGTTGGGAGGTGATTAGCTGGCCCTGATTGTTTCTTGTCTGGAATTCCCCTGTTTTTGAGTGTTGCTCTTTATTTACTGTTTTGATTTTAGAGTTTTTAATACTGGTAGCCAGATTTTATTCATTTTCTTATTTTTTCCCTTTCTGATGACATTTCAATGGCTTCTCTGTATAGTCTGGCATGGTAGTTGTTAGAGAGGTCCAGCATTTCTGTGTTCTCAAATAATATGCTGTGTCCAGGTTGGTTCATCAAGTGCTCTGCTACGCCTGACTTCTCTGGTTGAAATAGTCTGTAGTGCCTTTCATGTTCCTTGATTCGTGTTTGGTCGCTGCGTTTGGTGGTCCCTATATAGACTTGTCTACAGCTATATGGTATACCTTGAAACTGCTAGGCCATTAAATGCTAATTGAAGTGGCCAAATGAAACATTCACACCTACCTCAAACAGACAAGAGTCCTTTCTCCCACCCTGGACATTCCACAGATATAAACCTCATTTTCCTAGTTTCTAACAGACCTCACAATAACTTAGGATGCCTGCCATAGATTCAAGCAAAATGTCGGGAGAGAATGCTTCTGGAACATAGCCATACAGCCTTGAAAACTCACAACAAACCAGTGATTTCAACCATGAAAGCCTTCAACAATGCAAAGTCTTGTTGTTTCAATCCCTTTATCACTTTGTATTTGTTGTTGTTGAAAAATGGCTTCAACATTATCCCACTTTCCCCTCAGGAAACTTTCTTCTTATTTTCAGATTTTTCAATCCTTCTATTTTATATTGTCCTTTTCATGTAATCATTAACGTGCATTATGGGAGCTCAGTGGGAATTCCCCATGGGACTCTTTCAACATAGAAAAAATATTTGGGTTTTTTAAATTGTGAAGTGTTATTTGGCCACTTCTGATTTGGGAACTTTGGAGGGGATATTTTGGTGAGTTGCTACTACATACCATCCAAAGATCCCTGGAGCAGCAAAATTTGCCTCGTGATTGCCCATCCCATTGTAAATTGTGTTATTGTAGGTTTTTCGGGCTGTATGGCCATGTTCTAGAAACATTCTCTTTTTTAAAAAAATATTTTTATTAAGCTTTTAAATATACATATACAAGTCGGGGGGGGGGGTTATGGGAGGGGAGAGAAGAGAAAGAGGAGGGGAGGGGGAATTGAGGTATTCCATCTACACGGGGAGGGTGAAAGGGGGACGATGAGGTACATTCACTCCCTCTAGCATCCTTGTGTCCAGTCATAGCTTCTTTCAGAAAGGGAAAGGGGAGTGTGGGGATGTGCGGGGATGTGCAGGGATAGGTGGGATAATATAACTTCCAGGTTGGTCTGCGGAGATAAGTATACCAGGTTTTCCATCTCTGCTCGGACTTAGTTCAAGCTTTTATTCTTTTTTTTTTAGACGATGTTGGTCTTTCTTTATATTTATTTCTTTATGTTCTTAAGATAGTTCAGGAACTTGTCCCAGTCCGTGTTTTTTCTCTTGTCATTATTGGTTGAAAGCTTTTGTGTCAATAAGTCCATGTTCATCATGTCGTATACCTTCAGAGTCCATTGTTCTAGTGTTGGTATTTCACTGGAATTTCGCTAGAAACATTCTCTTCTGATGTTTCACCTGCATCTATGGCAGGCATCCTCAGATGTCATAGATCCAGGCAAAATGTCAGGAGAGAATGCTTCTAGAACATGGCCAGACACAGCCCAAAAAACCTACAACAACCCAGTGATTCCGGCCATGAAAGCCTTCGACAATACATTGTAAATTGTATTTTGATATTTTTAGTATTGAAAGTTGTAAAATTACATTTTAGGAGTTCATGCATGTCTTTGCTCTACTGATAAAGCCTTCTTTCTTCTCCAACAGTTCCTCTTCCCATGACCTTTCAAGCTCATGGGATCAGTCAAATCTACACCGTATCTCCGACCAGTTCAGTTCTGCTGGAAGCATGGATAGCTGGGACCACGCACCTCAAACATACCAGTATGAGCAGATCTCATCTGCAAAGTCCAACAGTAGCATTGACCACCTAGGGAATGCTAGCAAAAGGGATTCTGCCTATAGCTCTTTTTCTGCCAGCTCTAGTACTCCAGACCATACCCTGTCCAATGTAGATACTGCCTCAACAGAGAATGTGGTGTATAAAGTGGGTCAATGGGATCCCTCCAAACAAGGGGGTATGAAGGCTGCCTTATTACTTAGTGACAGTGGAAGATTAGATGAGAAACCAAGCTGTTTGCCACTTCCATTACAGTATGAAAACAATAGAAGCCCCCGACTAGATGAGAACACTGATTCAACATGTTCTGGGTCTGGAAGATCAAACTTTATACCAGTTTGGTATGTACCAGAGAAGAAAAAGTCTCCTTCTCCTCCGCCTCCCCCACCTCCTCTCCGTAGTGATAGCTTTGCTGCCACCAAAGGTCATGAGAGAGCTCATACTCCTCTTTATGCAGAGAGTATTCAGAGCACCCAGCACTTTGAAGTCCTGCACAGACCTCAGGCCAGAAACAACTGGGGTGCGGAAACTGCAGAGCAACAAAAGTTAGCTGCTAAGACCATTGAGAAGGCCTCAGATGTGAGGCAGGGTGGTAATCCAGCCTATCGATGTGATTTCGGTCCAGTTTACAGTTTGTTGCCTTCCGATGACAGAATCAACAATAATATGGGAAATGTCCACAGGCTACATTCGTCTCTGTCCAGTACTGACGTTCGTTTTGCACAGTCTGCTTATGGACAACCTCGCCATCACCATCAGCGGCAATATAGTGATGAAAGCACTTTCTTTTACAATGCAAAAGTTTCTGCATTGCCTAAAGAGCAGCGACACACCTCCACTTATACTGGTATTCCGGAAAGGCCTACTGACAAATACAGTTGTCAGCCACACCAAACCAGGATGTTTGATAGTAATGCCACTGTTCCTTCTGACATGAGTTCTGAGGAAAAAGTGGATAATTCTGGGCTAAATCACTATTACTGTGTGACAGTGAAACAGCCTCCTCCAGAAAGAAACTCCAAGCCGCAGAAAGATGAGTGCTGGAATCCTGGAATAGGTAACATCTATGGACAACATGAACATCCTTCTGTAGTAAGAATGAGCCAAAGTCCCAAATGCTATCTACCTCAGCAAGCTGTTGAATCTTCTCCAGGTGTATCTGAAAAGAGAGTTCATTATGTAGTGAATAAAGGAGAAGATAGAACTGTTGCCATAGAAGATTCCAGAAAGATAAGTTACCCTGAAAAAACAGTGCAGAGTAGAAGCTTTGAGGAGAATCACAGGAGTTACCATGACCAAGAATATGGGCAGGAGTGTGTCCCAGTATCTGACTGTAAGGCTGCCTCAAGTGATTTCAAATGGAGTCAAGAAGAGAGCTTCAAAATTTCACCCCAGAAGACCCCAATGTTGCACTCTTTAGCTCAGGAAGGGAAAAGCCAGGCTGACATTGCCATTGAAGCGGGAATGAATAAGCAGCCTGGATTCGATGCTCACCTAAACAAAACCGCACGAAGGAGTGATCGTTTTGCAACTACATTGAGAAATGAGATCCAGATGAAAAGAGCAAAGATGCAGAAAAGCAGAAGCACTGCTGCCTTAGCAGGGCCAACTGAGACAGAAGAGTATGTTGAGAACTGGAAGCCTGATTCTGCAGAAAAGATAAACTGTTCATCAGAAAATTCTTTCACTAACGTGTACAAGGATAATCTGAAAGAAGCCCAGGCCAGAGTTTTGAAAGCTACCTCTTTCCAGCGCCGGGACTTGGAAGCCAGTTCTGCAGATTACCTTCCAGACCGGAAGACCAATAACTGCAACTCTTCCCCATTGGCTTTTGTTTCTGAGGATGAGTCAGGGTCCCTTGAAGCTAGAAAGTCTTCTAAACATACTCCATCTGGTAGTAATGTTCACCATATACCTCGTATTGGAGCTAGAAAGAGGTTCACAGCAGAACAAAAACTGAAATCTTATTCTGAGCCCGAGAAGATAAATGAACTGGGTGTGTCAGTAGATGACTACCATTCACGCCGTCGCCCAACGACTTCTGAGGAAGCCTTGGGTTCTTTTGCAGATAGGTGGAAGTTCTTTGAAGAAACTAGTAAGCCTGCCTACCAAAAGTCTTCCCAGAGACACACACCATATGGCCGTCCAGAAGCACAACCTCCAAATTCATATAGAAATTCTCAAGAAGGTGAGGCTGAGGGTTCCTGGCATGAGAGGAGGATGCGATCAGCTTCTTTTGGTGTTGAGAACATGCTTGGTGTGTATGATAGGCCCAGAGAAAATGTCCATTATAATAGCCACCAAGGAAAATCTGGACAGCCTCAGAGATTAGAAACTTTTGCAGAATATCAGGCATCTTGGAAAGAGCAAAGGAAGCCTTTAGAAACTCGCAGTTCTGGGAGATACCATTCAGCTGACAATATACTTGATGCTGGCCATGAACAGGTTGAGAAATCTCAGTATACACATGAACGGTCAAGATCATCTCCTTCTACTGATTTCTACAAAAAAGTAAGTGACAATTTTACATTGTTTTCAGCTTGTTTAAAAATAAAAAGTACTTCATAGAGGGAAGAAGGGAGACGTCTAAACCAGAGTTTCTTAAACTGTGCTAATCCAGATGTTTTGGACTTCAGCTCCCATAATTCCTAACAGCTAGTAAGCTGGCTGGGATTTCTGGATGCTGGAGTTCAAAACACCTGGAGGAGCACAGTTTGAGAGACACTGCTTTAAACTATAGTGCCATGTTGTAGTCGTCCTTTGAAATTTATCAGTGGGAGAATGCTACCATTTCTGATACCAAACATTGCACATTCATTCTTTTGAATAAAGATTGACTGACCCACATTTTTCAAGGTAGAAATCAGGAGGGTATTGTTAGCACATAAGAGTATATATAAGGGCCAAGCTGTAGCACAACTGGTTAATTACCAGCTGCAATAGATCACTGCCGATCGGAAGGTGACAGATTCGAAGCCCGAGTCAGATTGAGCACCTGACTGTTAAGCCTAGCTTACTGTCCACCTAAGCAGTTCAAAAACAGCTTAGCTGTGAGTAGACAAATTAGGAACTGCTTAAAGCGGGGCAGGTATTTTACGACACCAAAAAAATTGCCAGCGATCAAAGAGCAAGGAGGAAATACGATCAAAATGACTCAGCATCATAGTGGATGAAGCGACAGCTCTCCCGTGGCCAGAATCGAGCATAACCTCCAGGCACTAAAGTGGAAATGCCAAAAATACCTCTGTCTGTGTGTCTGTCTGCATGTCTAGAAAATGGCATTGAATGTTTGCCATCTATGTGCGCATTGTGATCCTCCCTGAGTCCCCTTCAGGGTGAGATGGACAGAATATAAATACTGTAAATAAATAAATATATGTCATGTTGGGTAATGGGCAGAAAACGAACCCTTAATGTTGTGCCCGACATTGCCAGGATCTGTAGCAGTTATGCTAATGTAGATACCAGAGTTAAAATTGGCATCCACCTTTGCTATAGGAACTGATTTATCATTACAACCCTGTTATATTGTACACGTTGTTACTGAGTTAATAACTAATTTTGATTTTGCACCCCACGGGAGAGATAAGATTTCCTGCTACAGGAGCATGTGCGCACACAGTACTTGGATATTCTGAAATGTTTCCAAGTAATTTTTGCTATAAAGAATTGCAAAGGTGTATGGTTGTTTTCTTTTGGGCTGATCAGATGAATTATTGTATTTCTTCAATTCTAAGACATTCTTTTTTCCCTCATATAAAAAATAGTTAAAAATGGAGTTGTGTCTTAGGATCTTTCCACACAGCCCTACATCCCAGAATATCAAGGCAGTAAATCCCACAATATCTGCTTTGAACTGGGTTATCTGAGTCCACACTCAGATCATGTGGGATTTTTCTGCCTTGATATTCTGGGATATAAGGCTGTGTGGAAGGGCCCTTAGAATAATGGGTGATTTTTTATAAATGTAAAACTTTTTTTTCATTGGCGGTACTGAAATTAGTGTGTGTCTTACAATCAATGGCATCGTAGAATCGAACAAATACGGTAGTAACTTGAGTACAAGGATTGCAAAGCCAAAGAAGTTGCATAGATTATTATTATGCTTTAAGCCAAATCAGCATAAGGCCGGATGTGTTATGTACTGCAAGAAAATCCACAAATGAAGGGGTGTGTAATGATATATTTTTTCTGGAGACTGAAATTTGATGATTTGGTTCTTTACTACGTTATAAAACATTTTTTCCTCAGGAAGAGTCAGCTGAACCAAGGAGACAAACAGAAAATTCAAAGAAGGATGAAGTATGTATGTCTCCAGTACCAAGGTCTGATGAAAGCAATTGTTTGAGGTAAACATTTTTTTGTATGTATATTTATGCAAACCTTAGAAACATATAATGCAGGGTTGGCTACTGAAACATTTTGGCTAACAGAAATAAAAAATATTTTGAACTGTCTTCTTCTAATACTCTTTAGCATGTGAAATGTCTTTGCTCTCAAAGAAAAATATGAGATATTACATATGCAATATCTGTTTTCAGTAGAGGTACTACAGATGTTGGTTTCTGTATAATACAGGATAACATTTCATATTTAGAGAATTTGAAATAACTAATATGTATGTATATAATTGTTTAATATATATTTCATAACAGCTCATTTAAATTTTGATTTAGCTTTTGAAAATCTGTCTAGATTTTAGTTCATCACTGTCAACTCTGGTTTATTTCACTGTTACAATAGTTGTATTTATAAAATCTTAAATTCTGTGGAGGGACATGTCCTAACCTAAACTCTATCCCTGTATTGCACACTGTTAGGGTGTGATGCAGACATTTCTTTAAATAAGTCAGAGAATTATGTCTAGATTTGGACAAGACTCAGTGAAGAAAACACTTTTGATCCCTCCTTATGGCCATGTAGAAGAAGGAAAGGGATACATTAATACATAGAAATTCTCAAGACAATGAGACTGAGGACTACTGATATAAAAGGATATGAATTCACATAAGCATCGTTAGCTCTTCACTGAAATGTATTTCTCAAACAATATTTGTGGAAGGTCTGTATTAGATTTGTTGGTAATAACAACGGAGTTGCAGTGGTCTATAGAGATTCCATTCTTCTGACCAGGGCCCCCATCCCGTAGTCAACAAAATTTGAATGCGTCCACCTGAGGGTGGGTGACCGGGACAGATTAGGGATTCTGTTAGTGTACCGTCCACCTCGCTGCACTACAGACTCCCTGACTGAGCTAGCGGGGGTGGTCTCGGACCTGGCGTTGGAGTCCCAACGGCTGCTTGTGCTGGGGGACTTCAATGTCCACGCCGAGACCGCCTCATCGGGAGCGGCTCAGGACTTCATGTCTACCATGGCAACCATGGGGCTGTCCCAACAAGTATCTGGCCCCACCCACAGTGCTGGACATACATTGGACTTGGTTTTCTGCCAGGGATGGGAGGAAGGTGGCGGTGTTGAGGAGTTATCCATCTCTCCGTTGCCATGGACCGACCACCACCTGGTCAGCTTTAGACTCACTGCACCCCCTAACCTCCGCAGAGGTGGAGGACCTATTAAATTGGTCCGCCCCAGGAGGCTTATGGATCCGGATGGATTCCTGATGGCTCTTGGGGAATTTCCCGCCACCTCGGTTGGTGATCCTGTTGATGCCCTGGTCGCTCTCTGGAATGGGGAGATGACTAGGGCAATAGACACGATCGCTCCAGAACGTCCCCTCTCAAGTAGCCGAGCTAAACCAGCCCCTTGGTTTACTGAGGAGCTGGCAGCGTTGAAGCGAAAGAAGAGGGAACTAGAGAGCGTGTGGCGTTCGGATCCGAGCGAGCCAAATCGAACACGGTTTGTGTCCTTTTTAAGGGCATATGCCGCGGCAATAAAAGCCGCAAAGAAAACTTTCTTTGCGGCCATTATTGCGTCTGCAAAGAACCGTCCGGCCGAACTGTTCCGAGTTGTCAGAGGCCTATTAAAACCCGCCACTCAGGATGGGTGCCCTGATGACTCGGCAGCTCGCTGCGAAGCTTTTGCTTGGTTCTTTGCAGACAAAGTCGCTTTGATCCGCTCTGGACTGGATACCATATTAACGGCAGTATCTGAGGATGTAACACGAGCATCTGCTTGTCCGGTTTTGATGGATTCATTTCAATTGGTTCAATCCGAGGATGTGGACAAGGTGCTTGGAGGAATGAGAGCTACCACATGCATCCTAGACCCCTGCTCATCCTGGCTTCTGAAGGAGGCCAGAGGGGGATTGGCCGAGTGGGTGAAGGTGGTGGTTAATGCCTCCCTTCGGGAGGGCAAAATTCCAGCCAGCTTAAAGCAAGCTGTGATAAAACCGCTGTTGAAGAAACCATCACTGGACCCCACTCAATTCGTCAACTATCGGCCTGTTTCCAATCTCCCCTTTTTGGGCCAAAGTCATGGAACGTGTGGTGGCCTCACAACTCCAGGCATTCTTGGTAGACACGGATTATCTGGATCCGGCACAGTCTGGCTTTAGGCCGGGGCATGGTACCGAAACAGCCTTGGTCGCCTTAGTGGATGATCTGCGTCGGGAGCTCGACAGGGGGAGTGTGTCCCTGTTGGTGCTGCTCGACCTCTCAGCGGCCTTCGATACCGTCGACCATGGTATCCTTCTGGGACGCCTCGCGGGGATGGGTCTTGGAGGTACTGTTCTGCAGTGGCTCCGCTCATTCCTCGAGGGTCGGTCTCAGAAGGTGTTACTGGGAGACTCCTGTTCAACCCCACAACCTTTGTCTTGTGGGGTTCCTCAGGGTTCAATACTGTCTCCCATGTTGTTTAACATCTACATGAAGCCGCTGGGCGAGATAATCCGGAGTTTCGGAGTGCGATGTCATCTGTACGCAGATGATGTCCAACTCTGTCACTCTCCTTTCCACCTGCTACTAAGGAGGCTGTCGAGGTCCTGAACCGGTGCTTGGCCGCTGTGACGGTCTGGATGGGGGCGAACAAATTGAAATTGAATCCAGACAAGACAGAGATACTCCTGGTTAGTCGTAAGGCCGAACAGGGTATAGGGTTACAGCCTGTGTTAGACGGGGTCGCACTCCCCCTGAAGACGCAGGTTCGCAGTTTGGGTGTGATCCTGGACTCATCGCTGAGCCTGGAACCCCAGGTTTCGGCGGTGACCAGGGGAGCATTCGCACAGTTAAAACTTGTGCACCAACTGCGACCGTACCTTGGGAAGTCTGACTTAGCCACGGTAGTCCACGCTCTGGTTACATCCCGCCTTGACTACTGCAACGCTCTCTACGTGGGGTTGCCTTTGAAGACAGCCCGGAAGCTCCAATTAGTCCAACGGGCGGCAGCCATGATACTAACAGGAGCGGGGCGCAGGGAGCATACAACTCCTCTGCTGCACCAGCTCCACTGGCTGCCGATCTGCTACCGGGCTCAATTCAAAGTGCTGGCGCTGGCCTTTAAAGCCCTAAACGGTTCTGGCCCAACTTATCTATCCAAACGTATCTCAGCCTATCAGCCCACCAGGACCCTAAGATCTTCTGGAGAGTCCCTGCTCTCTATCCCTCCGACTTCAGAAGTGCGGCTGGCGGGAACGAGAGACAGGGCCTTCTCTGTGGTGGCCCCACGGCTTTGGAACACCCTCCCTATAGAGGTACGATCAGCCTCGCTGATGGTGTTTCGGAAGAGATTGAAAACATGGTTGTTTAAACAAGCATTCGGTTAATCCGTTGCAATCGAATTTTGGTGACAAAAGGACAGGTAATCATGGACAACGAATTCTGGATTGTGATTTTAGTTCGAGATGCATGGGATTATTATTGGTGGCCCAATAATTGGTATTGTATGTGTTGTATGTTTTAAATTGAAGATTGTTTTTAATTGTTGTAAACCGCAATGAGTCGCCGACTTAGGCTGAGATATTAGCGGTATACAAGTGTATAAATAAATAAATAAAAACAACAACAGCAACAAGAGCAGCAGGAGTAACAACAACAACAACAACAACAACACAGTATAGAAAAAGTAAAAGGGCATTTTAGATGCACATTTGTAAAATTAAAGTTTACTATACAAATGGCTTAGGATGAAATGAAATTATTTCTGAATTAGACACCCTGATTTTATGTGGCAAATTATGTGATCAGATGCTTCTAGAATGAATTAATTCCCTGATCACAAGAAACTAGATGTGAAGAAGAAATTATCTATGTAGTTTTCTCCCTGATTGTGAAAATGGTACGATCTTAAAAATAGTTTACTCCATGGTGAGCCATTTCTCTTTAGAAAACTTGATTTGCCTATGCATGGCATTGTCCCTGCATTACTCCATCGTTGTTCTTGCATCCTACTTTTATCCTTTATTATATACCAGCTTGGGGACCTGGCGATGCCCAGACTATTTGAGAAAGTCATTGTTTGTCTGTGCTCTAAGTAGTCTCCAATGTCAGCTGGGTTCAGTGGGCACAGGTGAACTGCAACTCCCATATGCAAGTTCCATCATCCATGGTCCTTGATCAGTGTGGCCTTGATCAGTCACTGGTGTGGGTCGCAGTTGTCTCTGGAAGTGAGTGAAGATACTGCAGATCCTATCATTCATTGTCTGTCGTCCCCCCAAACTGCACCAGGATATAGATGTCTCTGACAGGCTGGACAATTCTTTTTTCTTCAGTATGTGTGATTGAAAGTGTTTTGAATAGCAAAAAAAAACCAAAAAAAAAAACACAGTGTACAGAGTTAAAACTTTTGGAAATAATGTCTTGATGCTGCAGTCTTGAGCTAATCTTTTAATACATAAAGATGGTGATGTCATTAAATCTTGAGACTGGACACTGACAATGAATATCTATTGTATAAAGATGCCTCCTCCTCAGGTGTAAAAAAGTTCTGTATAACCATTGTTCGCCATATTACTGATTTGCTTGCAGGTTTTTTCTGTCATGCTGTAGAGTTCTGGTCAAACAGGTTTTATTTGTGTACAGGGTAGCCTTCATCGTTCTCTTTGGACAAAGTTCAAGACGTATGTGGGTGTAGTTTGTGTGGCAGCGTATTAGAGCTTTAAAGCAACTATCAGAGATACTTTCCATTTGCATTAAAGCATGCCACTTTGCAGATGTAGGCATGTAGCAAATATTATCTGCAGGTTTGTCAAATCAGTGGAATATAATTGTTGCCGACAGTGAACAAAGGATGCTTTTCTGGAAGCAGAGAGCAGTGCATTTCCAGGCTCCTTTTTTGAGGGTCTAAGAAAAGATGGGGATGCTTTGAAGTCTACAACCTTTTCTTCCCGAGGTCAAGCATTTCTGATGATGTAACATATAATACAAGTGGAGCCTTCTGTCATTGAGGTTAAAGT